TTGTAAAAGTTTTGTTTTCAATATTTCTGTTTATCGATTTTTCACAAATTTTCTTTCATATTCTCCTCACCTGGATTTCTTTATCAGTTCTTTCAGAGAAAATTAATGAATTTAGTAATATAACTAGCAGAAATAGAAGCTATTTTTTAGGCGTGGAGGTAAGAAAACTGGCTTCATAGCCTGTGGCCTGGATTCGCATTTTGGAAAAGGCATGAATGTTTCTTTGAGGCTTATGGACACTTTACATACTGTCGAATCGAAAGTCCTCTCGACAGGTTGATGGAAGAGGAAGAAGAGTGGAAGATCAGACTAGAGGGGAAATACCTTTCAAGCGTGTCCTTTTTTAAAATTTATTACCTGCTTCGCTGTTAGCCACTGCACAGAGAGGCAGGAATGCCCCCTGGATAAAAGTAAACTGGCTCGTATCCACTTTGCATACGGGGAAAACCACGAAAACGCTCATATATCTAGCTCGTTTACCAGGCCTCGAACCTGTAACTGAACTACCAGTGTTCAGCGGCTTTTACTAGTCGGTTGCTTATGGGCTTGTCATAACGAAGGAATTTTCCATTATCAAGTGAAGGGATGAAATAATTGGAAAGCGTTCTATTAGACAAGTATCGAGAGCGAAGAAAAAAGGACGGACATTCGACAATCAAGAAGAATGAGTTGCATTGTAGCTGATGAGGTTGTAAAGCTGTGGAAGAAAAGGAACGGCCAATAACTTGTAAAAAGTGTCATGTAGCTAACTGGCGTCTTTGGAAATTAAATCTACCGTCAAACCATGATGGATTGTTTCCTGCGATTGTAAATGCAACACCTTCCTATAGACTTCCCAGGTGAATATCAGCCCCATTAGAATTTTCACTCGCCAAGAAGTTGAGCCAATCTATTTAGCCTATGTAGAAACTATCTTGTCACAAAAATGTATAAGGTATTTCTCCCGCCTTTTAACATGTCTTCGTGGTGTGGTGGTCTGCACGCTGGGCGCATATTCTAGAGGTTCGTGGTTCGATTCCTGGCGAAGGCGTTGCTCATTTTTCATCCTTCATGCTTCCAAAAAAAATTTTATGTCTCTACAAATGAATCTCTATATATGAACTTTCCCAGAAATCATAAGGACTAGATTTTTCTAAAAATATTTTATTATTTTTAAATTTTTGAGTATTTCCCTTCCTACGGTCTGCTATCCTTATATTATTGGCTAAAATCTGGAGCATCAGATATGTTCCGTTTTATGATTAAATGAAAACATGACACGCTGAAAACAGTCAATAGCGCGCCTGATTCCCACCACAGCATGTAGACTGCTTACCGGCTTGGGTCCTATAACTTACAACGTAAAATCCTTATTGCACTTCTTCTTCTCGGTGGCTTGGCAAATGCGGTCAAGAGCAGGAGACTGACGTTAATTACGGAAGGGGAAAGTAAACGGCTGTGTTAGGGATCATAAGGGAAGATATATTTTAAAAGAAAAGTGTTTTTAGGTCTCATTCAGTATCAGTATATCAGGAATATATATCGCTCGCTGGAGATAAAAATGTGTTTTTTTTTTTTTTTTTTTTTTTTTCGTACAGTGTTGCCATTGCTCGCTTTGAAATCGCTGAGTTTGTTAATCAAAAATTCGTTGAAGTGTTATAAAATATGAAATCGATAATTAACCAAATTAGAGCTTCCACACGCCGATGTTCTATGGAAGATTACGTTATTCAAATTTTGATGGTTCTAGGTACCGTCGTTTTATTATAAGCGAGAAACATACATACATTCATGCAGACTCTTCATTATTTAATTTCTTTAAATATAATACAGGGCGATAATATTTGGTGGCAACAATTTGAAAAGTGATTCGCCGTTTATATTTTCAACGCAAAATGCCAAAATGAAATTAATAATCCTTCTGGGCAAATTGTCCATTTGGACTAATAATGTATTCTAAAAGCGATGGGCTGATGCCTAGCAGTAAGGGTTTGGAATCAAGAATATATTTCACAGAACCATTATATTACTTGCAAGTATTTCATTAACTGATAACGTTAAATTTTGAAATTTCATATAAACTAGAAAAGGGATATAAAAAAATTAGAAAATATTTATTTTTAAATAAACATTCAATTTATGTGTAGAGAGCTGCAATATTTTCACTCAGTTGTTGTCGCAGAGATGTAATTTTATTGGGGGGGGGGAAAGAAGAAAAACTAGGAAATTCCACTAGTTAAGTAATGAAAAATCGAGAAAATTTTGCGATCGAGGAGCAAAAACGCTTTTTTTTTCTGGGAGGGGGGGGTGGTCTATACCAGAAACGAAGCAATAACACAGATAACTAGCATGTAACTAAATAAAATATTATACATTTTTTTTTAAATTACAAATTTACATTTATTAATCAATTCAAGAAATGCATGCAAAAGCGTTAAAGTCAAGATTACTGTTTAATTTGACAGTATTTTTAGACATTATGCTGTACATAAAACGGCTTTTCTTCGTTAAGAAGTTCGTTTCTAAAAAGGTACCCTTTTTTATCGGAATCGTCGGCACTGATACGAAATGAAGGGCGATTTATACTATACCTCAATTTCCTGGTCTGTAAGACGCACAGTGGTTTATCAGGTTAAAACTTGCGAAAAATACTTAGACAGAAAAGGATTAAGTGCCTATTTTAATGATAACACTTTATGCAACGAAAGCGGAACTGTTGCATTAAAAAATTAGCAAATACATCAGCGTTTCTTAGAATCCCAGAAATTCGTCATCACTGTTGCTAAAATCTTTCCACCTAGTGCACTCCTAATTCCACACTTTTTAAAAGATTTCTTGTAGGATAAAATTGGATAATAGGATAAATGTATTTTTCAGTATTAACTTCATTCTGAAGAATTTTCTGCAGTCTAGTTTGCGTTATTTTATTCATAAGTCTCAAATTAAAAACAATTTAATGTTTTGTTTATATGTCATTAGAAAATCAACCAAAAAGCAGCGACCACAATGTAATTGAAAAACAGTCCTTTAGACGTTAAAAGGTTGAAGGCCATTTGGGTTAAGACTATTTTCTCAGATACTCAGCTGCTTCGCATACATGGAACATAGCATTCAAAATGAAAAATTCAATATTTTCTACAAATTCATTGATGTAACAAATATTTGCCTTTCTACCCCTGCTTTAAAAAAAGGTGTTATTTGCCTTACAGTTTATCGTTCAATAATACATTGTCATTGTACAAAATCGCATTCATTCGAAGAATTCAATTTATATTTTCCTCTGTATAAAAACTGAATGTAGAGAAGTTAGATGTTTAAACGACCCCCACATTTTCTCAAGACCACGAGCAAGATTATCCCCTCCTTTTCAGCCCACCCCGTGAAAAAAGGGGTTCTAAATTTACGACCCGACCGCATATGAGGTGATTTCCTATTTCTCATCTGTAATGATATATTAGCCACAGAAAATGTTATTGCTTGACATCAGCTTCGTTGCACAAAGCATAGGACCATGTCCAGGTGCCTGCATCATGCAACTGCGCCGCCTAAGTTGCGTTTGGAAGCGGGAGTAGCATAAGAGGACATGTAGGAGATTTATAATCCCTAAACGAAGCAACAGACCAAGAAGTGTTGCCATCCCTCTCCTACCAGTCCTGCTCAAAAGCTAACAATCGGTACAAATGTTCATGGCGACACCTCCCTTTTTTTTTGGGGGGGGGGGTAGTTCGTTGACTTTTTTCTTGTTTGCTATGCATTTTTTGGGATCATCATCACTCGTTATTTTGTGTTTATGATGCATTTTTGGGAGAGGGTGATCAGCAAGCGGTACATTCAAACACTCCGAAAATTTTAAACACTAATACGAATAACAAACCAAGTAAAAACCTGATAACGATCCGTATTTATTCTCCAAACACGCGGTCCCACACATCTTTGGCAGCAACTTAGGGTACCTAGAAATTTGACTCTCGTTGGTTCCTCATCCACTATACAGCGGGACTTAAATATTCTGCATCTTAGGCATGGCAAAGACAATATATACGAACAAAAGTTTGCTGAGTAAACAAGGTAGAGTGTCTGTAAACCAGTGGGTAAAACAATGCACACCTGAATTTTTCCAAAGAGGATTCGGGAGTTGGTTTCAGATATGGCGTAAATATATTGTTTTTAATGGAAGCTATATCAGATAGATTCAGATTGATTCAATATGAGGAGGAAAAGGAATTTAAAACATTTTCGCTCTTGAAGCACTTTTGCTCGTAATTTTGAATCACTTTAGCAATTTTATAGCAAAATACCGTATTCTTTAAGCATTTTACTGCACTTATTTCCTCTGCAGGCATATACGGAAAGAAATTTTAAAATTTGTTTTAAATCAAAAAATAAAAATATAGTTAAAAAGAATTTAGAATACAATACAGAGATGGCTACTAAAATGGCGACGTTGATACTTAAAACTGAAAAATTGTTATATGGGTGGTTATTAGAGTTTGCCGTATTTTGAAAATTTAGCGATTTCTTTCAAGGTAGCTGCACTAATATGTAAATATCATTTTTTTAAATTTCTAATATTTTTTACTTATTTGTTATTTAAGTCAAACAGCTAACAAACTTCTTTCCTTTCTCTTCTGAACTTATTCTACAGAAGCATAAATTTCTAAATTAACTTCTAAATTACTTGCATAATAAAAAAGAAATTCACAACCAAGATTTGATTCATCCTATTTTGTGCTTATATAACTACTTTTATAATTATTCTTAATGTCATTAAACCATAGTAAGATAGAGTTTGTATGCCATCTCATACAAACCAGAATGAAATTTCTGATTCAAAATACGAAGAATAAACATTAAGCAAAATAATTTCCGGCCACGGACTGAAGGAAAGAGAATATTTATTAAAGACCCGAAACAAAATAAATAATTAAATGTTTTATATTCAGCTGAAAGAAATAGTTCCCATTTACAACAACCTCCTATTTTACTTTTTTAGACTCATGCATCATTTTTTTTTATTACAGATCATCTACGTGGTTCGAAATCCAAAAGACAATGCAGTCTCTTATTACCATCATCATCGCATGAGTACCTTCCTGGGAAATTACAAAGGATCATGGGATGATTTCCTCCATCTTTTCATGAAGGGATATTGTAAGTATGCCATTTAAATACTGTTAATGCCAAATAATGGTCCTGTATATCCCATGCACATCGGCATTTAACTTGTAATTAGCGCCATACTGCATAATACAGAAGGTTCCGCAAGTGTTCCTAATGTTCTTCTGCAAAAACGATGCTGTGTGCTTCTAAATTATTGTTCTGCAATCGATAAAATACATTCTATGCAACTCATGTATAAATCATAAAACGCACAATTCAATACATTCCATTCTTCTGAAAAATAATGGCATGTTGACGGTGGTAATAAAATGGATTTTAAAGATCGTATGAATAACATCTGTGGCAAAGAATATCGTATAAGAATTAAACACAGAGATATTCACTGCACACAGTTTCTATTTTATTGTTTTGTATGATATATTTTTACCGTATTCCTCAGCATATAATACGGCATTATATTTCGGCTTCATATTTTTAAAATTATTTCACGAGAGCAAAAGAGACTTTAACTACAAAGCGGCCTTACATGTTTATCTTCAAGATGTTCTACAGTACAAGTAATTAAACGACTTAAATACCATATTTTGTAGAAAAACTAATTAGGTATGCTTTCTTTTAATGTAAGGAATTAAATGGTAAATTACCTTAATAAATTGATTTTGATATATTAGCAATTGTGATAAAGAGGTTTATATTTCGCTACCTTGGAGATTGCCATGACTGCTCCAGTTTCATGCTTAAGAGGAGGTATGACTCTTAAATTTGGGGAAATTTGTTGTTATGTATTTATCTAAAAAAAAAATTAATTTAATTTAAATATATACATTGCGACCGCTTTGGTAACATTTTTATAATTCGCTTTTGGATTAGAAGAGTGAGGCGGATGAAGAAAAATACCTCCGAGATTACTTTCAGAAAAGTAACGAACTCATGACTTTAACCGAAAGATAAAGCTAAAATAATTTTCAAATTATTGGTCGTACACAACCTGAGCTCCAGTACTTTCCGTGCCTTTAAACATATTAAAAAATAAAATAAAAATGCCATTTTCTTTTTAATTTTAGCTTGTAACGACAAGTTAACTGGACTTTCTCTAAAATAGATGTTTTGCCTATGCCGCCATCAAGTTTACTAAATTTTAATTGATTGAGATATTTTGTGTTTTTAAGTTGCCCTTATGTAAGATGTCCTTCACATTATCTGGAAATAGGTTAAATGGCTGAAAGTGCATGATACTGAAACGAAATATGTAATAAAGTATCGCGATATAAATTATGCAATTTAACCTCTGACTTTATTAATGGAAGAGATGAAATTAATGACTTTTTATAAAATCCAATTAGATTCTGTCCTTACTGCATGACTCATCCTGCTTCACTCTGTTTAATTCAATTAGCCAGATATGTTATGCGCACAGAAAGATATGTAATTGCTAGTCGTTACATTCAAGAACAATTCGTTACATTCAATTCTGAGTCTTAAGCCCAGGAGCCTGTATGAAGTGTCTTTGCACCTAAGGTCTTCAGTTAGCCATGAGACTCCACAGGTAGTGCTAGCACAGCTCTTAGCTCTGAACAAGAAAACCTGGATGTGACTTAAATTGCTATAGCTTCTTTACTTCTATGGCTACTGACTTTACTGCAAATTACGAGCTTTTAGAGCATTTAGTGCTAATCGTTAAAATAGGAATTCATTGCTATATTTCTGTACATGCTATGATAATTGTTCAGAAACTAAATCATCTTTACACTGGGATAAGGCTCGACCCGTGTGCCCAAGGGAAGAACTTATTTGTTCACCAGGATCGAATTTTGATACCTCTACGGTGGCGAGTTTCTGGAATTCATTTTCTTTTCGTCAGAATGTATAACTGAGTTTATTTTCAGCCGTAAGTTGGTCTTCTTTTTAATAGGTGCTGGACATTCTTTGTACTACAGGGATTGTTCTTTGGTATGTGTACATTCTTACTTTGGGTGATATTGTGCACATTTCCACTTTGGGTGATACTGTCCCATTTCAAAACCCTTGCTTTATTGAAGCCCACTGTAATCTTTTATCCAGCTCTTGGGGATCATATTGACCATTCTGGTCATTGTTTGTCATTGAATATTGGAATCCATGTAACTAAAAAAATTTGGTGCTGTAACAATTAAACGGAACGAGTAATAAATTGATTAAAATGGAAAAAAACATGAAATTAACTTTTTATACAGTTTGAATAACGCATATTAAATTAAACAGAAAGTTAATTTTTTTTATCTTAAAATTAGGCTAAATTAAATCTTAAACTGACATATAAAAAACATATTATATAAAAAACATATCATGGAAGATCGGCATGAGGTCTTCAGGGAAGGAAATGTCCTGATGCCTGGTCCCCTCCAAATTCATTGAGTTTTCTGCAAAATCAATGCCTAACCTGAAGCAGACTTTTACCCTTCAGACGTAATTACATTTAAATTCAAAATTACTTTAAATAATAAAGTAAATGCAGGTCTTAATAAATTAGTTTCGTCTTGCCTAGTATCAGACGAAAGTGAAATTAGAAGAAATACTCTAAATACTTTTATTTAAAATAAATTTGTCCAGAGTCAGTGACATAAAAAATGTCATCTTGACGTTCCTAAAATGTCATCGTTTTAGGAAGGGAGGATTTCATTTTATGTTATGTTATAGCCTACATATACTGTATTCCACTTACGTATGATTACGGATTTTTTTTAATATAAGGTTATTTTAAGCTCCAATTATTAAAAAAATGACAACATTTTTTTTTCTTTGTCTTTTGCAGTAGTGTATGGCTCGTGGTTTGATCACGTTTTACCCTACTGGAGGTTCTGCCAAGAACATCCAGATAGAATGCTCTTCATTTCATTTGAACAGTTAAAACTGGTAAGAAATGTATCTAATTATTGATATTAAATATTTATTTCTTACATCTCTTTCAAATTTTTTTTTAAAGTTGTAAACTGATTCCTTTCTTTTCTGTTGCTCGATTTAGGATTTGCCAGGCATGGTATCTAAGATTGCTTTCTTCTTGGGACGCCCACTCTCACCAGAGGCCATAGAGGCCATTTCAAACCACTGCACGTTTGAGCAGATGAAAAGCAATAACATGGTCAACAGAGAAGTTCTGCCTATTTCGGACCTCTTTGATATGACTCAGTCGAAATTTATGAGAAAAGGTAAGCTTGCCTTAAAAATGTTAGAAACGCCATTCAATAAATTTTAAGCCTAATCTAATTTTAAGAGATAGACGCCTAAAATTATTGACTGAAGTTTATATATAGTGTCTCTAAACTTCAGTGCACTTAGCATTTCTATCATTGTGGTGTCCCTTAGCATTATGTGCTGTTGTTGCCATGTGGAAGAAAGATCTGCTTAGTTTGCTGTAGCGTTTTACGGTTATGGCCTACCAGAAATAGATCAAGAAACTGGCGTAATAAACATTTTTTATCGTAATGTTACACGTATTGAGCAATAACTTTTATCATCACCGAAACTGATGACCAAAATTTACCCACAAAACATTGCATTCTAAACTGTGAAATTGGGAAAATCTGCTGTGATTTCTTATTTCGTTTGCAGATCTCATGGATTAATCCACGTCTTATGTGCAGTGTAATGAAGTTTTAAAGAAATCTCGCCATTTTTTGAACGAACAACAAACTTTATTAGTCAAAACTTACAGAATAACTGGAAAAAAAAAAATTAAGCGCGCGCTTCGTCTGCGGATATTTATTGCGGATAATCGTCTGCGGTAATTTACATTTCTTAGTGGAATTATGTTGGTAGCGTAGCAACGCAAATACGTTACAGCAGTAACTGGCTATGAATAAATATATTGGATCTTTCACATTATAGAATAATACACGCGAAACTAGTTTTAGCGAAAAGTTACATGCGCCAACGTTGACAACTGGCACCGTTAAATTAAATGAGTTGATCTTATCTCTTATAACAATGCTCTTTTTTTCCAAATTAAGTATTGCCAGCAGAATGTGTGTCGTTCTACTTTATTCTTTCATTATTGAAATAATTAAGCCAAGAGAGATATTTTTATACTTAGTAATGTTCCAACCTATAACTTACAGCTAAATCTGTGGAACCTTAAGAACTGGTAAGCGAATAATCGCTTATCAGATAGAAATGAAGGATTAATTACCATTTATTATTCAAAATAAATTTAACAATTGACACCTTCTTGGAGTTAACAGCATAGCCTCCATTTGGGCTTGAACTGAGAAATACTAAGAATAAAATTTAACTAAAGAGATATAGTCGAAGCTATCAAGATTCTACAAGAGTTGGCCCTTTAACGCTAGCTAAACGGCGAAGCTATCAGGGGCCTGAAATACGGTCGAGCATAGAAATCATAGAAATAGCTTTACAGAGAATAGCCTAAAATGCGTACGCGCGCTGCTCAGAATCTCTGGCTCTCTAACGAAGGCAGTAGAACTTCAACTTTAAATACTTGCTCTTCCTTCATTTGCATTTAACCGTGATTCTGAAAGCACGTTCTGGCAGGAAATTGTAAGCTGAAATTAAGAATGGATAGGAAAGTGACTTTAACTCAAAATTAACTGTTAAAAACTTAGGATAAACCTTACAGCTTATTAAAATTTTACTACTGTCGAAATGAGCTGAAGATAAAATTACACTTTTTTTGCTGGAAATATCAAGTTAGCGAATTTATTTTTATACAGAAAATTAGCACATGTTTCCTTTACCTAAAAAATCCAGTCTATTTTCATTGGGATTTATCACGAAGAACAATTCTAGAGAATAGACAAAATTTTTGTTTTTTGTTTTGTTTTTTGTTTGCTTCTAGTACCAGCATTTACGGTAACCATCTATCGCATTCGATGCAGCCAGTTTCCCATGCATTTTTTTTTTTTTTTTTTTTTTTTTTCAGTCAACTAAATATCAAAGCTAATTTCCATAGCAATCTGAAAAATGACACACATCCATTTTCCTCGACTTCTTGGTTTTCTCCACTTGGCTGTGTTATCTCCACAGCGGCCTTTTTTGAGTTCATCTTTCATCGACGCTTTCCTTTGTCTAAATATAACAGCTCATCCTCGTGACATAGGACTAATGAAATATCACAAGACTACAACCATGAATTCAAGGATATTTGCCACTGTTATGCCTTCTCTCGTCAAAAACTCATTTTACGGTCGCTCAAAAGTATATCTTCGATTGATATACAAAATGCACAGATACGACAAATCCCAAAATCTACTCCGGACGAAATATCAACTTTTAGAAAAAATTTGTCTGCTCACGTATATTTGAAAATATTTCAATGTACTATATAACGAAATATTTGCAGATGAAATGATTACATTACATCCTAGCATATAATATGGTTAGGGAGACTACAAGCTCTTAAAAAGCCATTTCTAGAAACTTCGATTTAATATTTAACGCATTAAAATCGTTTGCAACGGGTTGCAATAATAAACTAGAATGGTTGGGTTGTGTTATAATTATAGGACTACCTGCTAGAAGATGCCGAAAATAAAACGAATGGACGAAGAAACGTCCGACTGTAATTTCAGTCGTCCTGTCAAAACAATTTGGAGTTATTGTCTTTAATTTTATAATGGATAACACCAGTTCTTCAATGGAACGTAGATTTAAAGGGCATAAGAAGATGTATTAAGACATATCACTTCTCAATCCCAAAAACTTTTCGAAGACATTGTCGCCGAACTCTTTCGACAATTTATCGATATTATTAGGGCACTATGCAGATGTAACAATTGATAATCTTAAGAATGAATATCAGAACTTAGTAATTAAATGGGAAATACTAAAAAATTCAATGGAAAAACATTATTTTGAATCTGATACCGAGTCAGGAGAGAGTTCCCTATCTATTAAGGAGCATTTATTCAAAGCTATATGCAATTTTGGAAAAAATTCCACCTTGTCCGTATATAAATTACTCTTTGAAATATAATTTATATAGTAACGCGCATGTCAATGTCTTTTTTGCTTATAAGTTTGCACTCACCCTATCTATAACGCAAGTTGAATGCGAAAGAGCTTTTTCAAAATTAAAAATTGTAAAAGGTAGAGTACTATGAAGCAAGCTAATTTGGGGTCATTGCTATTGATAAACACAGAGCAGGATATTTTGGCTAAAGCAAAAACTGAAGATATATAATGGAGGAAATATTTACCTAGGCACCTGGAATTTAAAAAATATTTAAATGGTTAATTATGAATCAACCGCTGTTTTGTTTATATAATTATTTAATCTCTGTTATTTATTTCTCTCTATATATAAAGTGTTCCTTTTCTGCAAAGGTATATTTTTATTTCATAAAAGTATTTTTATGACGATAATGATGATGACAATGATAACTCATATATATAGTGCCTTAGGGCCGACATATTTTTTCCTACCAGGGCCGATTTCTTTGGCCATCCGTAAATATTATTCGCAATGCTAAACGGAACAAGAACATATTCTGTGATCTGAGTATATTGGATTGAGTGTAAAAATCATAACTCGATTTTTCTTAAAAACCACGCTCGTGTCAAACATTTTTTCTGGAAGTAAAGATTTTGCAGATTCGTGATTTGTGTGTGGTTCCGATGAAATATAAGTTCTAATTTTAAAAATGTGTAATATAATGTTTACTTGGTTGCGAGTTTAATTATTTGTATTTCTTCTTCCTATCTGGAAGAATCCTCTCCCCGTCGAAATGTTAAAGTAAATCTTCGGATGCGAATTTTTTTAAAAAACTTTTAATATAAATCAAGAATTTCACCATTTTGCACATGACATCCCCACCCCTTTCATCATGATAAAATTGCTACTGCACATTTAGAATTTTTTCACTTATAGATCTTAATTTATCTGCTTCGAGCCGATAGGTAATTCAAAGTAATTCCTTGTATTAAATTCCTTACGCTATCCACAGCAGATTATGAACAGCAGTTCATATGTAAAGGTCTAAGATAGAAAGAATAAGCATTGGTTATCATAAATAAACGTAAAGTGTAAAATTTATTTTTTACCTAGTTCCATTATGACCGATTTTTTCCCCTTTCTATTTTGCAGTAGTCAGAAAGTAAAGTTTATTTTTTACCTAGTTCCATTATGACCGATTTTTTCCCCTTTCTATTTTGCAGTAGTCAGAAATTGGTATCTTCTGTCAAGTATCTTCAACTTTAACAAAATCATACTGATTTCAATTGCATATAATATTAAAGGAAAATGTCTCGATAATTCTCAAGAAAGAGAATAAAATTTCCTTTATTGAGAATTGAAAATTTAAGAATTTTTCATGTTAGTCGGCTTCTGGTGAGCTTGTCATAATCCTAAAAATTTGAAAAAAGGCCATTTAATTATAATTTAATAACAAATACACTCTTTGGGGTAAAAAAAGACCAATTAAAAAAAGTAATCTGATTATTCGAAATTTTTATGCAAATTTCTTCATATCAAGTATGCAAATGATTACATTTTCAGGGCCAATATGAGTTTTAACTTCGGAAATAACGCGCGTTTCTGCTGCGCAACTAGCATCGTATAAAATAGGTAACGGATGCGGATGGTTTAGCTTTTCTTGTCGGGGTTGCAGTTGCCTGGTTGACACAACCAATAATGCCGTTACGACGATATCGAAGACATTACAGACAACTGGATAACTTCGAATGTGGTTACATAGTAGGGATGCATGAAGCGGGCTGGTCATACCAAGCAGTAGGCCGCCACCTGCACTGTACAGACACGACTGCACAATTATGGTTGCTGCGAGGTACTAATCGGTGTAATCAGGGCTCTGGAAAGCGAAGGTGCATGAATAACCAGGCAAGATCGGATGATTGTCCAGTTTCTAATATGCTACAGCCTCTTGCATACCACCCGCGGCAACTTCACCATTTCACGGGGCTTGGCCAAGTCTATGTAAAGGAAAGGCTGCATAGACGTAATGTAAACCAGTTTGTCTTTTAACGTCGCTAGAAAGAAAACGGACATTTCGCCAAGGGATTTGCTACGGAACCTGTTGGCGAGAATTTCCCCCTTTGCGATGTACCTGGCCGAGATTTTCCACCTCCGCCACGTGTACAGGAAATTGAGAAACACGGGTTAAGATGAAACGTTCTTTGACTTTTCGTGATAATTTAAACTCGAATTTTCGAGCTTTTTTTGCTTTAATAGTTGAACTTGTATTATCCATATCGCAGTTTGATGTCTGATTTTATATCTGTCAATATGTAGGAAAAAAAAATGGAGTCACACAGCTTTAAACTCTTGATAAACGTGACCGTCGAACCTGTTCGAACTTCGACATCAGCTTCGAGCTTTGGGGCTTTTTGGCGACATACATTTCACGCATGCGCAGTTGTGTCCCTTTTCTTTCGGAGGGAGCCACTCCTGCTGCTGCGAAGCTTTTCTTCTTAACAATACATATTCTTTGGTTTGGCTGTGATGGGGTTGCGCTCACGGCTGCCTTTAAGAAATCCGCCTTTAAACCGCACAGCAACGAAGAAGTCATATGGAGTGGTGTAGTAGCCGGTCATCATGACTGCCAACTGATTGGCATTGCAACTCTTGATAATGTTCAGCAATGATCCCGCTTGTCTTAGAGCAGATGACCATCGAGTCGAAGGGGCAGGGCCAGCGGTTCCAGTCAATTTTTGTTTTACGGAGGCATACAGCCATTATTCCTGGTGTGGGGTGCTAAACTTTTGCGACAGCAGAGCGATCCTAGTTATCCTGTGTACAGCCTTAACGATATGTAAATGACATCTTGCGACCGTTGCTTTAACCTTCATGACACGCCATCGTGTAGCCATTTTAAAACAGGATAATGCCAGACACCCATACGGCTGCTTGTCTATCTGTGAACTGTCTCCGAGCTGTTGACATTATTCCTTGGCCAGCAACGTCACCAGACCTTTCACCATTCGAACATGTATGGCATAAGGTAGGCCGACACATTTGGGCACCCCAAAATGTCGCAGATCTGGCACAACAATTGAGGAATTGCCTGACAGAATGTAGCACAGGATAAGATTAGAAATTTTTATAACTGCTTACCTCAACGTAAGCATGTTAGGGGGTTACCAATTACTGATTTGAACGTTCAGTATGCAACTGTTAGCCACTAATGGGTCTTATGGCATTGAATTTTAATTATTTCATTATCTGTGCATGAGCTTTACAAATATTTAATTTCAATAAAAACAGTCACTTTCTTTATGGTGCTTCGTCCACCCTCCAAAAAGTATATAAAAGAGTACAGAAAGTAAGAGTACAGAGTATATAATACTTAAAACTATTAAATGATTTTTTTCACTCTTGAACTTGTATATACCAATGTGTTTTATATGAAAATTACAATTATTTTTGCATTATAATCAAATTTGCAATATGTTAAATGTGGTGATATTTCTAAACATTAATCAAATTAAAAATTTTAGGCATAATTGGAGACTGGAAGAATTACTTCACCGAGGAGCAGAATGCGATTTTCAACAAGCTATATAATGAGAAGATGCAAAACAGCAATTTGGAGCTAATATTCCATCCAGATGAAATTGATAACCAGAATAATAATGACAATGAGACAACTAAAAGTCTGGACAAGCCCATGGTAATGCAGAATGGAAATATAAACAATGCAGCTGAACATGCTACTTGATGATATCAAAAACTCTTGATGCTGAGTTTCTTCAGTAAGATTTTTTAAGCATTACCATGAAGCATTCATCAACTAATGGTTGACATGGATGTCTCTCACTCTGAGTTATCCACGCACACATGATACAAAGCAAATAATTCTTCATCTCAACTTGCGTCCTTGACTTCCACTGATTGCACAAAGTACGACAACTGCACAGATTGCAACAGTGAAAATGTTCGGTTTTACAAAAGACATTGTATATACTTCATGAATATGGGACGCAGAGAAACCTGGAAATGGAAAATTCAAAAGTGGTAGTTTTTTCAGTATGCTGAATATGTATATGCTTTATATGTATCAATAGTATTCAGTATTTTATAATGTACATATATTACGATTCAACCAAAGCTTTAGATGGAAGTTGAAGCTTGAATTTAAAAAAAATCTCAGTAGAATATTTTATGCAGATAGTTTTTTTAGTAATTCTTTCATGAAAAGAATGAAATGAACTTATATTTTGCACAAGTTATAAAATTAGTAGCACTAAAGCTTGAATTTGTGAATCTGAATACAGAACCGTATTTTTGCAAGTATTTCAGCTAATATATTTTAGAATATAGTTTTTCCAGTTTTTGCCTTTGTATTCAAAATATAATCAAACTTTAGATAACTGTCTTTTAGTAATTAATTCGCTCATAATAAATGCTAGTTTCTGTAATAGATTTGGTAAAAACAGACAATCTAGTTTCTAACTGATAGAAATCTTCTAGAATTCAATCTCATTCTTAAAATTTTATTTTAAAACTCGCATTATGTAAAAATCTTTGTCGCATGACAACAGTATTAAAAAGTAGAAGCATAAGTTAATACAAAATTGTTTTAATAGCAAGCTTTGTAAGTAGTTTTTGTTCTAAAGCTTTCATTAAAAAAACCATACATTAATATAAACATACTGTTTTTCTACTGTTACTGTGAAAAATAATCAAATTTGTTCAGTATGATAAAATATTGGTAATAATAATGCCATATAAAAAATCATTTTTCAAAATTTAACAAATAAAACTAGCATTAAGAAAAGATATCAAAAATTTCTGAATGGTATGAAAATTATTAAAAATATTAACTTTTGCATGAGTAATTTTATGTTGCTATAACATGTTCATATTTAAATATATATAAAAAAGAATTTTTTTAAGAAAGCAAATTCTAATAAATGTCAGTAAAGTATTTTCAGTTTGCAATTAATTATTTAATAAGAATGCTGGAAATACATAAAAATATTTAATGGAAAAAAGATACATTTAAGAAATAGAAATTAACTAAAAGCTGGCAAATCAAAAAATTTAAATCATATTTTTATGTGGTATTTAAGTGAATCTTTTATTAACTATTTGCTTCATCAGTATTATGAATTTTGTGATGTGCCTCACTTTATCAACATAATGGCTTTTTATACTATTCATTAATACATCAAATTTTTATAATTAACATTAATACTACTAATCACTTTCACATATAATATAAAATTATGCTACTGTAAAATAATTTATTCTTGGAGATTTTAGTTAAGTATAGAAACATTTGATAATTTATTCTGCTTGTGGTAATTTTAAATAAAAACATTATAATAAAAGTGGGAAGAGAAATTCTAAGGCCTTGAGCTGCCTTTTGAAGAAAAAGAAGGATGAAAAAAAAGATTTGCCTTATTTTGTTTGAATTATAATAAATCTTGTACATGTATTCATATATAATGTGAAAAATCATATTTCATATTAATTTTCTTATGAATTCCATTTCAGTCACTGGTCTTTGCAATTATGGTGAAAATTTTTGTTAGTAGTCATGTGTTAATATTTTATGTAAATATCCCATCATTATAACAAATGTGAGAGGTCTAATATAGTGAGAGTTACTTAAAAGTTACATAATTTCAGAATGAACCTGTGATGTATGGACTTAAATATTAAGATTGTAAATGTAGATTCTTTTCTATGTACAGGGTTCGTAATAAAATATAAAACTCTCTTTTGTGTGTTTGATTACCCCTGCACTTTAACTCAGTTCGAGATGAGTATAAAAAAATTGTTTCTGAAAAGTCTTTATTTATTATTTTCTTTTTAATCATGAAATAATCAAAAGAATTCAATTTAGTACCAATTTTCTCTGTTACTACCAATTGCATGTACATGAAAATCCAGCATTTACTTAAAGTTTGAATAAAATGCTTGAAGAGAAATTCTATTTGAAATGGAAAAAATTACCATTTACTCACCTTCAAAGTAACATGAATTGGAAAACACACATACTCTTCTACATTCCAGGAAACACTGATCATTTTTATCTATCATAGATCATTTTCCATTGTATTACTTTGGAAAGCCTGAATTGTTTGACAGTGTTGATTAAATTACATGAATAAAACATGACAGGGTTAAAAATCTGGAAAATTAGTTGTTTGAAACATGACAAGGATCTACTTCTAACCAAAGATATCCAAATTTCTTTACTGAAACTTCTTTGCTCAGAACACGATACTATGCTGAAAGGTCAAAAGATGCTTTTATTCTGCACTACTACACAAATTATGCCATTCTAGATGATGCTGCTTTTTCACAGAGAGTATGCTAACACCTTCCGATAGCCAAATTACTAAAAATTTCGTATAATATGGCATGACTACCTGCAGATTTTTTAAAAAGAGGTGTATTACTATTTTAAATACGAGATAAAGATTCATACTCATTATACCTCATGTAGCACAACCTCTGCAGATTATTATTAGAAGTATTTCCAAAGTAGAAGAATAATTACTGTTTCTTTGTACTTGTAGTTTTAGAAACTGCATTTCAATTTTTTATTATTTTTATCTTTAGAGTAAGATTCTTAAATTGCAATCTGCACGCCCCTTCACGATCCAAAGAGTTTATAAGATGAGGGTCCAACAGTCATTTCTTAAAATTTGATTTGCTATTTAATTTCATCATAAAAAAATTCATGAAATCAAAATCTGTTTGTTCAAAACAGGTTCACTTTGTTGAATCATAATGAAATGGCTCCTTAAAATCACTGTTAAGATTATCCTTGTTTATTTTTTGGTTACACATACAGAACTGGCAAGAAAAGCTATCAAGTAATTTATTTCTTTCCACACAAAAGAACTTTTCTAGTGTTACTTAGATAAAAATTGAATATCAAAATTGATTGTATATCAAATCAATTATATATGCACTTCAAATGCTGAATCAGAAACTGCACATAGAATGAGGGAGGGACTCAATCTTTACCCCCCCCCAAAAAAACAGTAATAAATATAATTTACTTTTCATACAAAGGGTTTATTACAATTTCATTTTAAAAATGTTACTTTTATTCCTTAAATTTATAAACCGAGTTCCAACAATTTGTAGAATAAAATATAAATACTTATATACACAAACACAACAGTCAGAAATCTTTGAATTCAAAATGATAGTGGATATGCTTAATGGCTTTGCAGCCTTATGAAAAATAAAAACTAAGTATAACACTGAAAATAAGGCAAACCATAAACCTCTTTAGGTAATCTCTAGAGTCAAGACAGTTACTATTTACAACTTCCTGCTGGTTATATGCCCTATGACAACTGCTTTCCATCATTTTGGTGAGACAGTAATTATATGGGCTGTGACAAAGCATTTGAGTGCTATCGGCCTAAGACAAGAGATTTATTTATGGACAACTTTTATGAGGGAAACTGGTCTGTACTTCCTTCACATATAGGAAAATTCATGAAAACTGACCTACAGCTATCCTGTTTACAGGATTTGGACAAGGGTCATACTATTTTCAGTTGTCTTAACAGCTTGACTGCTGGTGAACTCTGATGAGATAATACATGACATTTTTAATGCTTCACTCGGGGATGAAACGAGTGGAATTAGAATTACTTTCCAAGAGTTTCAACTCAATATTTCACCCTTATATTTTGTCTTTGATCCCCCCCCTTACCAGCATTTTATTATGCAACTTGTAAAAGAAATGACAAAACTATTTTAATTTCATCAGAATTTACATTTTGATGAAAGTGATAGTATAAATCCCAACTTATGAAATAATATAAAAAATATATATATATATATATATATATATATTTTAAGGATTCCATTTAAAGATTTTTAGAAGTTATATTATTGTTTAAGAGTCTAATGGATATATTAAGAGCACAACATATGATTAATATAATTTATTAATAAAACAAAAACATATTTACAAAAGTTGCATTGACTTGCATAACATGCCACTTATGGCACTTTTATTTACTACTAGAACTATACAGCAATGTTTCTCACTTCAAGAAATGTAATAAAAGATATAAGAAATGAAATTTATCACCTCATTAAAATGCATATTTAACCCCTTAACTGCCGCGGGTATATATATGCGCCTTGCTCAGCCGATGCGTTAACTGCCCCAGGCGTATATATACGTCCTTCCAAACTGCTATCATTTGCTTTGCGCTGCTACACCTAAAATTATTCGCAAAGTTAACGCATCGGCTGCGCATCTGGTGCAGTTAACGCATCGGCTGAGCAAGGCGTATATATACGCCCGCGGCAGTTAAGGGGTTAATACCTTTCATTTCCAGCGAAATTCAATTACAGAATTCTATACTTAACATCATCCTTTAATTATACATATGAGATTTTACAGTCTGATCTTGTTAATTAGGACACATGAATAATGTCATTTTGGCTTATGTATACAAAAAACCCACAAACAAATCCCAGTTCACACATAAGCCCTTCCGTTTATAGCCAAGTTACTACTTAGCTATAATAAATGTTCCTTTCCTTAAAAACAGCACAATATAAAATTCTGTCATTATATTATCAATAGCCTTTTGTTTTGAGGCATTTTTGTCACATAATATGTAGTATTTATGCAAAACAATAATAATTTATTTAAAATTAATGCAGTAAAAGTAAAACATAAATTATTCGATTTAGAAGTTATGTTAATAATAAGTTTTATTTTATTATTAGTTCTACTGCTAGTGAAATACTAAAGGATAAGTTTAGGAAACAAAAATTTACTTTATAAACGAACCTTTTTACTTTCATGACAAAACGAAAGTAAAAAAAAAAAAGAGTGTTCTTCACATTTTTAGTAAACATGTGAATAATATTCATCATCTACTGTTCCAAAGCTTGAATTTACAAATGAGAACTTTTCTCGTTTGGTAAGAACCCAATTTAAATAATAGTATGGTATACCCCAAATACATAACTGCTTTAGCTAATCTACATCCTATTAACAAGAATAATTTGTATACAGAAGACACTGCTTAATGTAATGCGGTTAATATTACAATTAAATTCTCGAAGTCCCGTGCATATGAAAACATGGAAAATATTTCATTTACTGTGATCAACAGCTCCATTAATATGATCAAAATATTCTACAAAAAATTTTTTGAACCAAAGTAAAGTTGGCAAATAAGATCAAAATAAATTATAAAAATTGCCAAGTGACACATGTCGCCAAGTATGAGATTAAGTCACCAAACAGCTTGGTTTCGATTTTAATCAACAGTTTAAAATTAATAATAATAATTAAAAAAAACTTAGTTTGGAGTAGATTTCGAGGGCAGTCAGATGCAAAACTCTGTTTTAAATTTTATATTGGCATATTCTCTTTCAATGAAGGATACCCTCCAAGTATTAATTAGTAAGTTTCAGCATTGGTCAAATAATTTCCAGAAGAATTATGAACAATTTATATATGAACATTTGCATTAAAGATATTGTGAACAGTTCATAAACAGATTTTTGCCTTTTAAATCATTAAAATGTTGTGAAAGTAAATATATATATATATATTTCTGGTAATATTTATAGTAACTTAGTTAAATTCCATTGTTGTTTTGAAGAGCCCCTTTTTTTTTTTTTTTTTTTTTCTTCTCATCATTTAATGTCATTATTCGGTTAACATTATGAAAATAGCAAGGGACAAACATGATCACATTAAGTAGTATCTACTGCATATACATTTATAGTTAGCATATTATAAGATCAACTTTTTATCAAAGCCATTTAAAATTTCATTGCAGATTCAATTAAAAAACTTACAATATTATCTAAGGGGGAAAAAAAAAAATCTAACACCAACTATTTAAATTTCCTCCTTGTCACTTAATGAATTACAGAAAACAGAGCTGCATAAATAATAAAACCTTTTATTATTAGGAATGGCAGATCATAAGTAATGAAGCATTTATTTATAGGCAGTCTTTAATCCGGACTCAAGTCAAAAGTCTTTAATCCGGACTCGTCGGGACTTCAGCGATTCTGGATTTCCAGATTATGGACGCTGGGATTAAAGACTTTTGACTGTATTTTCTTTTTATTTTCAATGATTTCCCCGTTTTGAAAGAGAAATAATTTGTACAATTTGTTATGACTGAAAGATAATCCCATAAAATTTAAGCAAATTTTAGGAGTTCTGATTAATTTAGTAAAAATTATTATAAAGACAGCTTTTACAAGATTACAACTTAAAATATATAAAAAAATCTAAGCTATTGGATATACCATGGAATGTTTTTAAACATTAATTTACTACTTCCACTAGCAATAATAAAGTACATTTCCCCCCTCTTAAACAGTGATTTAATGTGCGTTAATACAACAGATATGAAGTACAGTAAGCAGTTATGCGAAAAATAAATTTAAATAAGAAACAATGTGAAGATTGGCATAATTATTTAACTGTGTACACTCCATGAATAAAAGTCATTGAAACTTTCATTGCATAATACTCTAAGAAAAATTCATTACATAAATTGTGCATACCTTCAAAATTGATAGATATCAGTAAATTTTTATGAACATATTTAAGAGGTAGAGAGTTTTCTTTACATTATGATTTTAATATACATACATATAGGTAAAAATTTGATGCTTATTTACTAAAAAGTTCATATAAATGATTATAATTACATATATGAATGTCATTGTTAAACAGTAACTGATGGACATCATTATCACACGTTACGTTAGTAATATATGCTATCCAGTAAAGAAAAATATTACTTTCTATGAAAAAATACTAACTGCACTGTAGAACTGTATGCACATTTGAGAAGAGGGAACATATGAATGAAACTGTAAAATTATTTTACTCAAACAGTTTTAACGTTTTCGTAGAGCATTACATTATTTAGTAGTTTGTCTCTGAACTTTTGAAAAGTATCTTATATTTGAAAAAAATTATGCTCTTAATTTTTATTATTATATTTGTGAAACAATTACAGAATCTTAAGATATGCTAAAATCAGTATATGATATCTTGCATTACGAATCAGTCAAATATGCCACTATTCAAGTAGAAAAAGGTGTTTTTTGCGCTTGAATATACAAAAACAAATTTTGCCATGGCTGTATTGTTTTACAACATAGCATCGAAGAAAATCTGCCTTGATGTTGGATTATATATTCAACAGTTCAGACCATGGTTCTGACACAATGAGCATGAAGATGCTTGGATTTAACATATTATGACTACTTTTGATGCAGTTAGATCAAGTTTTTGTTCCTCCCCTTCCAACAAATTTGGACAGTACTAAACAGCACATTGCGTCAATTGTTATGATTGTTAACATGAGCATACTATGTTTGAGAAAAGCTGTATATCCCACTGATATATATTGTGTTACAAACATCATATATTGTAACACAGCAGTGTAAACTTCAGGACTTATTCTTCTAATCGTTAAAGTTATTTGAGGCATGCTGTTAAAACTCTTGTTTCTGTAAAACTCTGAAAGCATCTATTTCTTTCAAACTAGCATGGTACAACTCAGAAGCGCACAAAAGATAGATACTTTTAAAATCAAATTAGTAACTCTGAAGGCTTTAGGGGCAGTTGAGAAGATCAAGAAAAAGTTTCAAATTTGCATTCAGATAATTATAGTGACAAAGCAACATTGTTGTTTCACTGCAAGGAAAACATACTGAGCTTGTCAGACATCTTAAGACATCAAGCTAAGGACATACATTAATCGTTATGCTACTTAAATCAATCTTCTCTAAATTGCCTTTGCATTTTCAGCACATAAATATAAAATCATTTGAGGTTTCTGTGGCAGATTATAGACATTTCATGTAAATAAAGTATTAGGAAAGTATTTAGAAATGGTAATGTACACACACAGTAAAAGAAATTATCTTCTTCACTTATCTGAAGCTCTAACATTTCTGAAACAGTGATAAAGACTGACATTTAAGTTAGATTTCTAAGCGACAATTACATCTGTTAAGTTCATTAAAGGATATTTAAAATACACTGCAATCACAGAAAGATGCCTACTTGTACCTTCAAAGCATAAAATGATGGGATAAATTTGTATTCTTCTAATATTAAACCTTCAAAGAAGTAACACAAAGTTACCTCAAAGAAGTAATACAAAGATGCCTACTTGTACCTTCAAAGCATAAAATGATGGGATAAATTTGTATTCTTCTAATATTAAACCTTCAAAGAAGTAACACAAAGTTAAAAAGCTTATTAAAAGAAATTAAAATCACACAACAGATGCACTTTACAATTGCTATGGAAGGCAAAATTAACATTCCAATAAACACCTATCTTTAAAGTTAAGGCATTGAAAAACTGTTATGAATGCAATAAGACTGTGCTGTAGTTCCATTTACTTTCTGCTTTACTATGAACAAATATTATCCAGTATCAGTTATTACTTGCATATGTAGTTTCATAGTTACAAATATGATTATTAATAGTGTACATATGACTTTCCCACACTGAATATATATAAGAAACAATATGATAATTAAAGCAAACTGAACAATAATTTTATTATTGCATAGTTTTTTTCATATCACATCTAACTTCTGTTCAGAAGTTAATAATTTCGCCACATTTTGTTAGGAATTGCTTTCCACTCACTAAATGGATGTTGGATGACAAACATTATGCAATATAAAATGCTATAAATTATAACAGCACTCACACAGTGAATACTAAAATGTAAACAGCATTCTTCCTAAAATATTTCAGAGAAATGCTGTAACAATAAATAGCAATAAGAATGCATTTGACACAGGATGAGTGATTTCTGTTTACAATGATAAGTTCTAACAGTTTATAACTGACTCAATTACACAACATTCAAATCATGTGATTTTTCATACAGCATTCTGATGCATGCACAACTTCAATTTTTGTTCCTAAATTGGTACAAGTACTGCCAGGTTCAGACATTCACTCCAGCTATTATGTGACATAATAAGTGATATTAAATTACAAAAAAAAAAAAAAAAAAAAAAAAAAAAAAAAAAAAAAGTTATTTGACTACTTATTCCAACATGCATTTCAAGTTTGTTAAAGACACCTATCACACTCAGTAACATTTGAAGCAATAATGAGCCAGATGCAATATTTTCTAGAAACACCCGCTTCTGCAATCAATTTGAATCACTAAATCCTAAAAGCAACATTTAATTCAAATTTCCAAAATGTTGCTCCTAACACCGAGTTACACATTAGATGAATTAATTGGAAGAAAGGTAAAAGATGATCAGACCTTTCTTTACTAAAGCAGGAAACAACAAATTTCTGCTTAGTGCCCTTAGCAACTGCCATAAATGGTTGTGTTTGGTTACATAGCTATACAGGCAAAATTCTCAGAAAAGTTACATATAACTTCCTGTTGTCTAAAAATGTTGCTGAGTTTGACAGATCCTTTAGGAAGCCCACTAATTCACAGGAAGGTGAGAAATAGAAATGTTTCATTAATTCTATCAAAAATCACATAATACTTCAACAGTTCTTATCAATAATCATTTTCAACAACATTAAATGTATTTAACAGTTACTTTAAAAGAAAAATGTTTTATGAAACCACAATTTAGTTAATTAGTTTTAGTTAAATTATTTAACAATTTAATATAATCTTAGACGAATGCCCATGAATGAATTTTTTTCAAACAAACGCAAAATTTAGAATAATCTTTGTGTTCTTTTGAAGAATTCTATAAAATTAATCATGCAATATGACATCAAAAATAATGACAAAAAGTTCACATAAAGACAGACAGTGTTCTAATTAAATATCTCAAAAACGTAGTATTAAGACAAAGAACTAATAATTGCATAGCTTATTAAGCATACTCAATGAGTTTCACTTTTAACATAATCAAATGATTTCTATATTGAGCATGCCATATTTATGTTATATATGATACAAAATATAACTTAAAATTAAAAAAATTCATATTTATGAACAATGCTTTATGAGTTGATAGATCAACATTTATCAAGAATACCTATATTAAAAATAGTAAGTTATTAAAAATAGATCAGTCAAATTAAAAAATTATTCAGCATAGCAACAAATTTAGCTCTTGAAATAATGTTGCATACAATTTACTTCATAAAAATATTCTTCAGAATATCACAAAAACTTATGCATAGACTACAGCAAAAAACATTAAATTTATATTAAAAGACTTGCAGCTTTAAATATAATTGGACAGGGGGGGAATGAGGAATGAGAAAATTATTTTTCTCTCAATTATAAAAAAAGTATTCACTTCATGAAGAAAAATAATTCAGGGTAGCTTAGTCACATTTATCAACAGCAGAAACATCACTATCCATGCATATGGTAGGAATAGTAAGCAAATTTGTTACTACAAAAGTTTGGTGGTTCACTTATATATGAAATTTAAATGAATTAATAATAATATATAATTCAATTACAAAAATGAATAACTGAAAAATACTGATAATTAATTATTTTTAATCCTAATAAAAATTAATCAAACTTTTTAACATAAATATATGACACGGAATTTTCTTATAAATTGTTGGAAGTTTCTCTTTACTACAGGCAATGTCCATGTGAATGTCATCAATCCCCACTTCACTATTAGCACTGTCACCAATGCAATATTTTTTGAAGTTATATGGCTAGCCAAGTTTACATGACTAATTATTTTATTTTTTGCTGATATGTAGCTGGATTCATAGGGTAATTTAAACTCATCATACATAGACAATTCTCCGATTTTTCCTGAATTTCTGTAATACAATTTTACTTCTCAGCTCGCACATGCATGGATCACCTAATATTCAGAAATACATGACACTTTCTTTTTTTTTTTTTTTTTTTTTTTTCAGCCAAAAGCTTTTAACAGTACAAACAACCCTCACATCAAATAAAAGCCTAAAAGTTACTGAAACTATTATGTCACTGTAGTTAAACAAACTAACAAAAAACATTAAACATATTTTACTAATGCTAAGTGATATCATCTCATCAACAACAATACAAAAGAGTTTTCCTTTTAAAAAAAATACTGTCTAATGAATGATTGTTTTTATTGGGCTAGCCCCCAAAAAATTATCTTGTAATTTAAGATTTTCAAAAATGCAATATTTTTGCTATATGTGAATTAATGTTGTCATTTAACTCTGAGTGCTATGACCGACTTTATCCGGTCATGAGATTTTTTTGTCACTTGATATATATTAGTGTATAATTTAAAATATTTTGCTTTCTTACTTTCATTAATAATATAAATGACAGCTTGATGAATGTAAGTTTATGAAAATAGAGACTAAAATAGGTAAATATATATATTTAGCGAATAAAGGCTCTTTAAATATAGGTCTTCATGACAGATCCAAGGTCAAAATGAAGGAAGTGTTTGCTTCTGATAAAGGCATTAAGTACAGCATGAGTTTGCCCAGCTCCATCATGTTTTTGATATGAAATACCACAAGGGATGGATCCAAAGATCTCCTACCTCTTTTTCCCTTACCAATAACCTCTTAAGGGACATGTCTGGATAAACAGCACTTTAAGTGCTTCCATCACAGTAGCCGCTACTGCCAATCACTGTATTGATAAATGCAGTGTTATATACATGTTCAAAACATAAATGAGATGCTAAATACAAACAAATTTTTACATGCTTGTTAGATGGCCAAAATGATGCACGAGTTCACATTCTTATCTACCAATACTAATGACTCAACTCCATCATGTTTTTGATATGAAATACTACAAGGGATGGATCCAAAGATCTCCTACCTCTTTTTTCCTTACCAATAACCTCTTAAGGGACATTTCTGGATAAACAGCTATTTAAGTGCTTCCATCACAGTAGCCGGTACTGCCAATCACTGTATTGATAAAGGCAGTGTTATATGCGTATTCAAGACATAAATGAGATGCTAAATACAAACAAAAATTTTACATGCCCATTAGCTGGGCAAAATGATGCACGAGTTCACATTCTTATCTACCAATACTAATGACAGAAATCACCAACAAATTTCTTTAAAAGAAAGGGGGTACTTTTTCAGACATATGTATTAAAAGAATTTTATTTTTCTTTAATATTGCATATACCTTGTTTAAAATAAAAGAAAGCAGTTCCTCAGTTTAAAAATAACCATAATAATTTTTTTTTAATAATTTTTTATAATAATTTTAAATTTTAATAATTTTTAATAATTTTAAATAATAATTTTTTCATAATCTTTTAAGAAACTGTTAAATCGAGGCCTTACTGCACTTATTTTGCTATTGATGAAAAGAAGTCCTTTAGCATTTGTGCAATATATTTAAACATTACTAAGAAAAAAGAATAAATTTTGCATAAACATGTAGATAATTTTGGCTCACTTTAAATAAAATTCTTCTTAAATACTTTTTGTTCAAGGATTAAATTGCAATGATTTTTAAATAGATATTTTCTCAAGGACCTAAACAATTTTGGAACTATTTAAAAGCCACTAACTGGAATGATCATTTAAAGGAATGCTGCATATTAAATTTGAAGACCTTTATGGCAGGCATTATAATCATTCTTACACAAAAATGCTTATAAAATATGATATTTTTCTACCTAAAAAGCATTATTTTCCGGAAAATGTAGAATATAGTCAAAAGTAACTCTAATGACAAATATATATATATATAAAAAAAGAATTCAAAATAAATTGAAAAATGGCACATAGTGATATTCAGTATACAGACACCTTATTCAATACATATTTTATCAAGATTTGATGTTGCTTCATTTTATTTTAAACTAAAAATTAAATAGTTTAAGAATAAAGTAAAAATAAGTTATTAAGTAAAAATGCAACTGAAACTAATTATGAATAGTGAACATGGCTCCAAATATATACAACAGTGAAGTTTTTCAGTATATACATAATGGAAAATGAGATCTCAGTTCATCATTGTTTTTTGAATCCTTTCAAAATAGGATAGATGTTTTCAAACGCTTCATAGATTTCAGACCGAACTTTAGCACCTGAAATAAAATAAATATTTTACAAAATACTTTAAAGAATACATAAAACAGCAATTAAAAACAGGGATGGGAAAATGCATCTTGAAAAAGAAAATCAGTTAAATCAACTGTACTTAAAAACAAATTTTTGCATTTTTTTTAATACTACTTGAATTTGGCTAAAATTTACAAAAGTATAAATTTTAAGTTAAAGCTTTATATTTTAGCTTAAGATTATTAATTTTTTACTAAAAATATGAAACATATATTTAAATAAAACATATGCTTTGAATTAAAGTAAATCATATTTAAATGACACTGAATTATATTATCAATCGATTCAAACTGATAAATAATAATTTGAATTCTCTAGCACATGATATTACATAGCAGCTTACCAGTTAGTACAACTTTTCCAGAGACAAAAATTAGAAGCACAATCCTTGGCTTAACCATTCGATATATAAGACCAGGGAAAAGTTCTGGTTCATAACTGTAAATGAATTACAATTAAAAAATAAGTTCTAAAATTTCAAACTAAAAATTTTTGACAACAAAATAAATATTATCAACTGCGTATACTGCACTTTTAACTTAAAAAAGGACAACTAACTCTAATATTATATAGTCTACTGAAATTAAATAAAAATTTTAAAAAGAGTAAATCTGCAACCTTTATTATAAAGAGAAATATTTATTCATATACTCTCATATGTAAATTAAAAAGGGAATGTAGGTTCTGATATCTCACACCCAAATTCTGCTGGAAAGCTGATCAGCAGATAATCGTACAAATATTCTATCGATAAATACAACAATCATAATTTTTAATTGATTCATGTTGTCACATTGAAAACTATGTACAGACAAATAAAAAATCTTGTGTTTGTATTACATTAAAAATGGTTCCAATTTTACCTAGACATAGGTTTTTACTGACCCACCCCCCAAAAGAAAAACAATATTAATAAGAATTATAACATATTCTCAAGATCACGCAAAGTTCAGTCTTTAACCTTCCAGCAGGTGCGCGTATGTATGAGATACACTAGATATTAATTTTGCATTTGTTTCATAGGCCACAGAGCGCTATGACCGTTTGTCCTTGGCTATTCTCTCCTCTTTATTCACCCTTCTTTCAGTCATCTGCTGGATTTCAAGGGGTTAATAAGATCTGCAGATTTACTATTTGTATTCCAGAAATACGTGCGACGGTTGAAGTAAGTTTTTGTTATATCTAATTTCCTTTTTTATTATAGAAAATCTTTATTCTTTTGCATCTAAATCTTATGATTTTATATAATTTGTGTGCATAATTACTTTTAATGATAAAATACAAGCACTCTATGCGTCACATACGTGCGACGATGTATGATATTTTTGTTATTTTTCTTTTCAGTTATGGCAAATAAAAGTAAAATGCTTGACACGAATGACTCGACGGATCTTGAGATTATCAGAAATAATGCTTTTATGTGACAGTGATGAAGAGATGAGGACATTATTTTAGATGAAAGCATTACAAATGAAGAAGAGCGAATTTCAGAAAGAGAAGGTGATTCAGAATCGGAGAGAAGTGCAGAGAGCAATTCTGAAGATAATGATGATAATTCTCCCAAAGTGTATAAGAAAAATAGAAAAGTCATCTATTCTTGGACATGGCATTACGAACCGTTTAAGAAAACTAAACGAGCGCCTCATAACATATGTGTACATGTTTCTGGAGTCATCAGTGAAGCTAAATATCTAACAGATATTTTAGATGTATGGAAATGCCTCTTTACTGATAGTATGACAGAAATTATCGCTGAAGATACAAATAAGTTTATTTCTTCTACGAGGTCTAATTATTCTCGTATAAGGAACAGCAGAGACACAGATGGAGCAAAAATAAAAGCTCTTTTGGGCTTACTTTACTTAGCTGGTATTTATCATAGTAACAGAGTTAATCTTGAGGAACTGTGGAGAATGGATGATTTTAAAGTAGTAATGAACTTGAAGAGATTTTTGTTTTTACTAAGAGCTTTACGGTTTGATGACATAAACACAAGAGCAGAACGAAAAGGAGTCGACCGCTTGGCTCCAATAAGAAACATTTTTGAAAAGTTTGTCACTAATTGCCAGAAGTGCCATTCACTTGGAGAGAATGTCACAATCAATGAGAAATTAGAAGGATTTCAAGGAAGATGTGGTTTCATTCAATACATTTCCAAGAAATCGAACAAATACGGCATAAAAATTTATGCCATGGTAGATGCTCGCATGTTTTACACATACAATATGGAAATTTATGCTGGAGCACAGCCAGATGGTCCTTTTTATGTAAGTAACAAACCACAAGATGTTGTAAAAAGGTTGACAGAACCTATTCATAACACTGGAAGAAATATAACCACAAGGTTTTCAAGTTTTGAGTTAGTACAAGATCTAGATGAAAAAAATTGTCATTTGTAGGTACTTTGAGAAAAAAAAAAAAAAAAACTCAAATTCTGGATCAGTTCAAGCTGACGAAAACTCAGGAAGCCAATACGAGTCTTTTGGGATTTAGAAAAAATATGACACTTCTCTCCTATGTACCAAAACGCTATAGAAACATCATATTGATTTCAAGTCTTCATAATGACGTAGCAATAGATGAAGATACCCAGGATAAAAAAAAAGCCCGAGATTATCAAATTTTGCAATGGTACCAAAGGAGATGTGGATACAGTGGACAAACTCTGTGCTACCTACAATGTTGCCAGGAACACCAGGAGTTGGCCTCTTGTAGTTTTCTTCTCTATGCTGAATATAGCAGCAATCAATAGCTACATAATTCACTCAATAAATAATAGTGAAAAATTACTTAGAAGGCAATATCTGCGAAAGCTAGCAAATGCTCTTGTGAAGGAAAACATTGAAAGAAGAAGCCCTACCTCTCTTCAAAGCGAGCTGAAATTAAAATTGTTGAAATGAAAAGCAGAATTAGGTGTTGTTGAAGAAATGACTTCAGGGGGGAAAAAATGCAAACCCTGCCAAAATGACAAGTGCACTAGAATTACGAGGTTCAGCTGTGAGACTTGTTTAAAATTCATTTGTCTAAAGCACTGTATACATATTTGTGCAGACTGCAACGATGCAATGAACTGATTATAAAATTGATTTTTTGTGTAATATTTAATGTCATTTTCCATTTACTGATTAAAAATATAAAAGTTCAGTTGAAATATTGGCAGTTTAATTTTGTTTTACTTTCAAGTTAGTTTGGTAAGTCTTTGGTCCTTTTTATATTGTTTTTGTGTTTTATACTTATTTTATTTTTTTTTAATTTAAAGTTAATATTGTTTAACTCAATTGTACTTATTAACATTTAACTATTTACAAAATAATTTGAATATTTTTGGTCTGGAAAATTTATTTTTTATAATAGTGTATCTAGGAAATATGCGTGACTTTCTTGTTAGTACAGAAGGCGCCCCCACTGGAATGTTAAATGTCTGTGATTGCAACACTATGTTAAAAAGCAAAAATCACTGCATATCATTAAAGCAGTCAAGAGAATGAAAATGATAATTATGTTTTTAAAATATTACAATAAAGATGTTTAAATTTTATTTTCTTACTCTTTTTCTGCAGATCTGAATAAAATCTCACTACCTTCACAGTCTAAATCTGATATTTAGGCAGGGGCAAAAAAGAGAGAGAGTGAGAAAAGAATATTCTTGATTCTCTGAAATGTGCTTCTTTAAAGGACATGCATTTTAGGAAGTTTGAAATGCTAGAAAGCTTTTTCCGCAATAGCCCAGCCTCTAGTTTAACCCATTTGCAATGGCGCACCTTTGTTTAAGACGCTTGTGCGAGACGGAAGGGAATAGAAGGCAGTCACCGTAAAGGACGGAGGTTTTGCATCACTAAGCCTAATTTTATATTAAAAAAAAAATATTTCGCTTCTAGCATCGTAATTTTTGGTATCATTTTAGATTATTACTTGAGCTCTTATATATGTTAAAATTAGCACTTAATAAAATTTTTTTCTTTATTTTACATGAAAATATACTTATAAACTTGCTTATCATGTAAAATAATTTTCGGAAACACCATTCAAATTATTCCAAAGTTTTAATTGATAAAATCCATCCATAAAGTTTAAAATTAATAAAATAACACAATAAAGATTACTTAAAGTAAGAAGTAACAAAATTTCACGGAGTTCTAACTCTTTAGAAAATGAATCATCACTCTCAGCTGCATAAGTAAACGGTTCATTGACCATATAAGGATATTCTTCCTCTGATAAATAGCACCTTCCTGCTATAATAGACTGGAGGTGAAGCTTTCCAAAATAAAAAGAGAAGAAATGGAAATATATCCGAAGGCAATGCTACGTAACAGTAGCATTCAATACGTATATGTGAAGGCAATGCTACGTTATTTTAGGGTTAGTATGTGGAGTACGTAACAGTACTCCACATATTAACCCTAAAAGACCATACATAGTAAAGGAAAAAAAAATAGAATATAAAAAAGGAATTGGATATAAATCAGGCATGCAAATGTTTTCATTAGCACGCAGCGATTTAAAGAGATCACCTCTGTTTACGCTTTCCCTCCCTTGCACCCTCACAAGAGCTGATGAGTGAAATACTAAAGCTGAATATATCAAACTCAAGGTCAGAAGCCTAAAACTGTGTTCAGTTCAAAAGTAATGGACATAGAATGCCAACTAGTAGCTTTCAGAAGAACATTCCAGCTTAAAATGCGTATACACATCACCTGTCCTCTGAATGCAATCTCTAGTGATGCGTGAATGCAATCTCTAGTGATGCGCTCAGCTGTAAGAGACGTTCTTAGGGAATACGTATATGGGACGCCCGCCCTGAAAGGGTTAACAGATGATTCTGGTAAATGATGAAAGACTCAGCAATTTTTACGGCTTTAAGAATGTGTAAACACATAGTGAATATTAATTTATGTTTTATAAATAAAGATAGCTTATGCATATGGAAATTGATTTTTCAGCTTGTAAGTCTTGAAGACATAACTTTCCCCATAGCAGGATTTTTCATGGCTGCAATAATGACATTTCACCTACATTTATTCATAAATTCATGATAAATGTAAAATAAGGGGGGAGGACATTGTACATTGTCATGCTTCTCTCTTCCAATCAGATTACCAATCTGGTAGAAATATATAACATGCTTTCAGATTTTAACCTCGAAAGGTGGTTGCCTCATAACTCGCAATCCGAAGGCCAGTGTCAAACAATCAAGTCTATCATCTCACACTACAACAAATCAGAGGATGTCAAATGCAACCACAAAATTAAAACAATATGAATAACTTGGTCTGCAAAATATTTCAGATATGCAAATAATATAAAGCAAGAACACAGAATGCTCTGAAGCTCTTGACCAGAGAGAGACTTGCTGCTAGCAGGGTCTTCGTGTAATGAGGACAATAACTATACTTATAGTACCTTGAAGGCTATAAAAATAATTGCTTCTCCATTAC